GTGGGTGTGGGTGTGGGTGTGAGTGGGTGTGGGTGTGGGTTTGGGTGTGGGTGTGGGTGTGGGTGTGGGTGTGGGTGTGAGTGGGTGTGGGTGTGGGTTCGGGTGTGGGTGTAAGACTAGAAGAATGCAGAACCCTCACCCACACCCACCCACACCCACACCCTTCGAGAAAATCGCTTTCTAATATTTATTTTTCGTTTTTCTCAAAATCAGTTTTTTTGTCATGCAGTTTACGCGGGTAGGCTTTTCTCCATAACGACTCGGCATGGAAGTGATAGTTCATTTTTTTTAGTATATAGGAGACATGTAGGGCTAGGACTTAACAGGCTCCGATTTTAATTTCTCTTTTGATGAAATAAAATACTTGGATACCTCATTTCCATGAGCAATTTGAATTTGAATATTTTTCGAAAAACGTTTTGCAAAAATCAAATAAAGGAAAATTCAAAAATCGAAGTCAGTTGAGTCCTACCCTAAGGGTACTCTACAACTTGAAAATCACCCGGGCTTGTTAGCTCGTTTTCTTAATGCGAAATCCTTGCCAGGGTAGAGAGTAAGGAATTGACTAGAACTTGTGTATTCCTTTGAGATATGGCAAAGATATTTTAACCATAACCTATTCTAGCCAAGATTAACGTTCTCTGAAATTTTGGTTGAAATCAGATAAAAATAGCAAAGTTCGTTTCTGAGGGGTGGCCTGAAATATCCCAGATTTTTTTCAATATCAGAGAATTGTTCGATTATCATCATATTAAAAACTTTAGATAATTTTACTTGTCTAGATTCATCAGACTTTTTTCTTATTTTGGATGATACAGATTAATGTAATGTCGGTGAAAATCTAATATATTCAGACTTTACCGCAGTTTAGTCTTTCATACATAGATAAACTCACGACTTTCATATGAGAAAACAAAATTTTATAATTGTTAACTAATCCTTGAGAAATTTTGGAAGTTTCAGGTATCCTGCAGTTTGAGTTTTCGAAACTTTCCCCGTTTTCAAGATAAATCATTGCTTTCATCCGAATTTATTATGAGTTTTCTTTGAAATGAAGACAACCCAACCATATCGACTTACAATATATCAGAAAAAAACTTTCTGCATATAAACACCTTGTTTTACAGTTTGGTATATGAATATTTCCTGAATGATAAAGTGTAAAAGGCTAAACTTTTCACCCTTGTACTGGGCATGACTTGCATACTCATGGAATAATCTATGTAATCTGTTAAAATTACGTCTTTATGAAGAGAGTCCCTTACTACTTTTGTAAAGGTAATCAACGCGCAAAATCTTTTACTATTATTTGCCAAATATTCCATTTCAGCGTTACTCCAAGATTTGTTTATGAAGCTTACTGAGATCAAGATAAGTGGAGTCAGTGTGCATATGAAGAGCATATCTGCTTCGACCTACCAATATAATCGTGTACAGTCACATGATAAATAACAATAGTTCATATACGAATTTATTGATATTCAAATGATCATTAGATAGGAAAAGACAAATCTTATTGAATAATAACCTATCTGTTATGTGAGACGACAATTTATGTCATTCACACTATTATGTTACCTACTATTAAAAAAATGAAAGACAATTGTTGATATCTCCTGTCTAATTGTGTATCAATTATTCAAAGGTAACTAAAATAGGAGAGAGAGAGAGAAAACAAACTTTCAGGAATTTCTATAGATAACTCTTTCCAATTCAATATCAATGTTTACGAAATTGCATTTTCTATCTTTGCTAATAAACTCAACTATTAATGAATGTCAACTATATTCACGGTCTAGTCTTGACTAGGTAAATTATGGTGTATCTATATCCTGAAATTCTAATTATCTCAATAAAGTTCCTAGTTGTAAGTATTTGCTACTAATCGGCAGTTACTTCAGACCGTTTAAAACTTTATCTTCTGTTTTTCTTTATATGAAAAACCATTGAGTTAAAATGATGCTGGTGAATAAATAGCTGTTTGAATGTAAAAACATTCCTAGTTAATAAACTTTGTTTTCAGTAAAATCTTAATTTCATTATTTAATAAAAGTATATTGAACAGTTCGATAAATAACTGCATCATTTTACAAGAGAAAATCCTCATCAATAATATTATCAAGATAAATAACTGAGAGATAGAATGATGGAATGTGTATTGTATTTCTTCATCTGAACCCACATTCATTATTCTACGTAATAGAATAGTTTTTCAAAACGTTCAGCTTCGATTTCAATTCATGTTTTAGAGATTTTTGTTATTTTGGCAAAATTTTAAAGTAAAATTTTGCTGAATTAATTACTAACATACGATTAATTGTCAATGTTATCAAAAGAAACATCAGTTCGCTAGATTAGAAGATAATCTTTCAAATAATTAGATTTACTCTTATTTAAAATACAACAATTCTGACAGCCAGAACAAAAATAATCTAATTAATTATATGTTCGCTTTTTTGTTAGCATCTATTTCAGATTCTTCGTAAACTTCTGAAAATGACTCTTACGTTTCGTCCATAATTATTATGACATACGATGTAGAAAGAAAACAGATTAATATGAAGTGTTCTATAATATTTCTCTATTTATTATTTAAACATGATTACAGAAAGCCAATACATTGATCTACAAAAGCAGAGTGACTCTATTGTTAATGTAGGATTTCAATATATAATATAATTCAACAATGAGAGGAACAATAAAACGAAGACTAACAGTTAAGCCACCATATAAACCTAAGATTTGTGATACAACATGCAAAGCATTATTATGTTCATTGACTGTATAGTGGCAATAAGTCGGAGCACATTGTTCATAAAATGAAGGATATGATACATTAAAATGCCATTGTTCAATAAATAATGCATCGACAAGCAGTTGAATTGATGTATTAAGTTGAAAACGACTAATCAGTGAAGCATTCATTGCGGTTACATTATTTCTTAGAGACAAAAAATAAAAATTGCTACTCATCAAATAACTTGTTAGACGATTAATCGATGTTTGATTGTAGAATAGCTCTAAAGTCGATCTGAAAACTGTTTCTAATATTGAACAACCAAGAACCCATCCTGGCATTATCGAAGAAAAAGGACTTGAGTCAATACAATCCATTCTTGTTTTACATGAGCATTGTTTATTTACAATGACTGAGGAACTTGAAACAGTTTCTTGTGTTACTAATGAATTGAATGAGAAGTACCAATTTAAGCCATAACAGATACATATGTATTACCATGTACAAAACTGCGTAGAAGTTGTAGAGAGTGTGAAAAGAGACGAGCAGTATTACTTTCCAAATAACCTGTAATATCATTTATTTGTAATAGAAATTGGGATTCAGACACAATTTCTACACTCAAAAATGTCTTAATTAGAAATTCATCAATTGCATTTTGAATTGTAGTTTGTGAATGTTGACATAATTCTGATAATAATTGAAATAGAGCACCGATACTGACACGAATATCAGTTCGTGCTGAAATAGTCGAATAGTTGTTATTAGATAGATATTGTATCCATATATCTTTGATAAAGTCACTCGAACATATTTGATGATATGTGACATTGATCGTGATGAATTTTTGATACGGAATAGAGATCGTACTACATGGACAATGAAATGAAGAATCATATTGACTGATTAATTTTTCATATTGAATTAAAGATGATAGCTGAAGTCTTTTGTTAACCACAACTATTGGTACAACCGTATTTATGATAATTACAATAACACTTATAAACAGTAGAAGAATGTAAAGACGTGTTGAAGTACGTTCATGTTGAATAACATTGATCTGTGTAGATCCGCTGGAAAACATATTTAAATGAAGCAGTTTCTCTCGATATCCAGCCTGTCGATTCAATATGTCTGATTCTAAATTTTTGTTTAAAATTATTATTGATTGAAACAGACTAGATCTGTAAAAAGGGACATGAGTTTTAAGATAACATTGCAGATATTCTATTAATCTTTGATATCAATTTAAATATCAAGAGACAAGAAGTTCATTTTCAGCTGAAAATTGATAAGGTTACATCACACTCATGATGGAGAGTTCCTATGTGATAATTTGTTTTCAAGTCCGAACTATGTGCAAGATGTGTGTCATAATAAATTATGAATATTGTGAAAAGGTTTCAGGCTACTCACCTGTTATGGTCAAGATATTGAGTTTTAAAGCCCCCCCCCCCCCCAAAAAATGTCAATTTTCGTGAAAATTTTCGAAATTTAGATAAATGCATGGAAAGATTGCCCGTCGTCTGCTCTTTTATAAACGATAATTTGTTTTTTTCGTGACTTGATTTTTCCCAAAAAATTTTCAAGATTTTCGTCAACCCCTATTCGAAAAACCAGCTGTTTGTTGAAAAATTAAAAAATGTTTTTCGTTTTTTCTCGGCTTATGATTTGTCGATTTTGCTTCCAAAATTTCTCAGTACAGGCACTGTCAATACATTTTTTTTGTTTGAAAGAGCGTTTCGAGATGCAGGGCACCACAGAGTCCTTTTTTTTAATCAAGCTTTATTTTTTATTATATAGACAGATACTTATGCGACTGAACTCCCATTTTTGGCGCGTTTTTTAAGTCATTGAACTTGTGATCCCCTTTTTTCGCTAAAAAAGTCAGAATTTAAAAAAAAAAGACTCTGTGGTGCCCTGCATCTTGAACTGCTCTTTCAAACAAAAAAAATTTATATATGTTGACAGAGCTCGGACCAGGAAATCTTGGAACGAAAATGAGCTATTTTTGACCTTGTTTTGGTTCATATCTCTGTCAAACATCGGGATATTGGGTTGAAAATTTTACCACGGATTCCTCACTTCAGCTGCAACATATGCTTCAAATTTCAGCCCATTGGAATGTTCCTAGGCTGAGATCGATTTTTGAGGGGTGGGGGAGGCCTTAAAGACATTTTTTGCCCGATACTGTGGTCCTCCTCACGTATACCATAACATTGAATTTTGAATTTTGACTTGAAACTTTCCCTAGAATCAGAATAGTTTATGATGACACTTTTATATATTTTTCTTGTCTCTACTCCAAGATACAGCCACGGTAGTTACATGTTTATATTTTCTTTGAGGGCTATAAACAAGCAACATTTAAAGTCAAAATACGAAAGTCGCTTCTTGACAAGGACCAAGGCACGGACTAAAGCAGTACTAGTAAAGATGCAGTATCTAGAAAGCAACAAGCCAAGAGCCCGAAGACTGTTCACAGTATTCATAACTCGCTATGGTGTACATGATGCAAACGGTCCTAACTCAAAAGTAATTTATGACTTGGAGACCTTTCATTGTCAGAATTTAATTTTTAGATCACAGAGATGTTGTCTTTTCAAGTATTATCCAAACTTCATTTTTTATATATTAGTTTGAAGTTATGTCACTACAAGAATTAATGAAAATGTTTTCTTTTTAATTGTATAAAATACTATTAGTTTCAACATTTCTATTTCTCCATTTCTTTTCGAGTAGTGTCTGCTTTCTATGCTGATAATTACATAACTATAACACGAATCGTTCACTTACGATTGTTAATTTCTACATGATTATTGACAGTTGATAACACATTGGCTCGAGTAAATTTTAATCCTTTCAGAATAAGTTTTGCAATCAAAGGACTTACTAAAAGGAGAATAACATTGATACCACCGAACACACCTACTATTGTCGTGATGATATATATGAGATTATTTTGTTCTTCATATGTGTATATGCAAGATATTGGACGACATTCTCGATAAAAAGAGTCGTAGGTTATGGATGAATTGAAATATTCCACCATCATCTGCTTCAATATGATTTCAAGAGTCATATTGGGTAAAAATCGACTGGATTGAATATGATCGAGCACAGTTATATTCTCGACCAGACCACTAGCAAAAATCTGTAACAGTTCAAACACTTTTTCAAAGCATTCGTTACTGTACCAGCAAGCAAATGAGGATTTCATTGCTGCATCTACTACAGAGCATCGTATGGATATACCTATAGGGGGATAAGGAACTTGAGTAACATCGTTTTGCATGCTGCAATACTTGCCATTCTTACAGGTGCAGAAATATTCACTATTTAGATTGAACTGCTGAAAAGTCAAATAAACTTGATACGGTCCTGACGTTAACATCGCAGGCGAATAATTTGTATGAAAATTTGAATTTGTTACTAATCCACTAATATATTGATCGGCTTGAAGAATATTATTGATCAATAGGATTTTGTAAATGAATTGGACTTGTGTCGTTTGTGGAAACGTTTGAAATGATGTATTCATTTGTGTAATGAACATATCACGTGAAAGTATATAAGCACTAACGAAATTAGTCAATGAAAAAGTTTGATATGAAGAATTGAAAATTTGCTTTGCCATATCACAAAAGAAAGCCAATGCTTGAAAGTAGGATGATCCAAGAATGTAAAAGTTGGGATCAGAGGACATACCCAATGGATAGAATAACGAACGATACCACTGCAATTGAATAAATTTACTCGAACATAACTGATGATAGGTAGGAGTAATTTGAATGAATTCTTTGTATGGAATTGAAATTACAGTGCATGGACATTGTAGTGTGCTTGGAAATCTTTTTTGTAACTTTTCATATTGCTCTTGAGTAGGTGATCGTACAGTAGCGGTAATGGTTTGTATCGATTGAGTCGTGTACATAATGAGAATAAACATTTCTACAATAATCAATACCAAATATACTCGAGTAGCGATACGACCTTGAAGAAGTTGAAATTGATCTTGTTGGTAATGATAATTAAAGAAATTCAATTCAATCACTAATTTTTTGATCTTATTAAATATATTTTGCCAAGTGAAATGCATTGGAACATCTAAAATATCACAATAAAGAATTAATATATCGTATTGTAATTATCTTACTATTTCTGACTGATATCGTAGTGATCCGACGCAACAATTTTCGTTTAAAAAACATTACACATCGAATTAAATAAAGAGTAAATAGACGTAAGACTATCTTGAGTCCTCCAATCAGACCCAAAAATGTTGTTATAATGAAGGTTGTGTCAAATCGTCTTGAATACGTGTATGAGCAGGCGATTGGAGCACATTTTTCATAATAGACAGCAAAAGAACTTTTGTTAAGAATCTCTTCGATAAAAAGTTGGTCGATTATTTCTTTGAGAATCATTTTTGGTGGAAAATGACTCATTCTTGTTTCATCGAGTATTGATATATTGAATTTTCTTGTATAGAGGGCAAGTATTGTATCAATACATGATTGATCGTAGAAACATTCGAGTGATGATGCCAATACCATAAGTGATGGTAAGCAATCAAACATAATTCCTGGTATCGTCATATCGGGAATTACAGTATTTAAATCATAAGGTTGATAACTTTCTGGGCGATCGAATAGATAGAGACCAGCTGGAGTCTGACAAGATTGTTCTGTATGACAAGAACATGTGTGATTTTTTCCTGGAAGTTGATAAGCTGTCTGTACAAGAAATACAGGTATCGGCTCATTTTCAAATATTGGCACAGTAATTGCCACAAAATTCGTTGCTACACTTGTCATTAAACCATTTATTAAAGATATTGCTTGAATGACAGTGAAATCTCTTGCAAAACGATCTATTGCCGTATGTTGAGCATCTTGAAGTGCTGCTTGGGTTTTAATTTCTAAATATGTTTCCGAAAAAGCAGTATAACTGAATAATGGATTATCGGAGAACTCTTGTAATGCATCCATGATAGTATTGTTAGCACTTTGGCAAAGAGCAGCAATTATTTGCCACATAGCACTCAAACTGGTACGCAGATCCATGGGCCATATTGCTGCCAGGTTCACTTCAAAAGTGAAATCGATCCATGATTGAGAGATAAAATCGCTCGAACAAACTTGATGAAACAATGGCTTAGCTACGACAAATTGACCATATGGAATAGAAATTTGTGAACAAGGACAACTCAAAGTGTTCGGATATTTCTTCTGAAGTATTTGAAAAGTAGTGTGACTTGGTTGTTGCACAGTTTCTGATTTTGTTTGTTGACTGATTGATGTATAAGACAACAGAATGATAAGAGCGATGCTAAATAGAATTAGAAAGACACGAGTGGTAAGAATTTGACGATGAATAATAATAGGATCAGTTGATTCATCTTTGTACAGATTTAAAGAAATGAGTTTCCGATTCATACTGTAACATAATTGCTGTACTCGATAAAGTATCGCCATTTCGACAAATAATAAAGAAGGAACACTGTATATATGATGTCGGTAATGTTTTATCTAAAATATATTTAAAGATTTATTCACATTTTTTTATTGTAATCTTGTCGATTTTTGACTATTCATTCATTAAAACTAAAACTTAGCAAAAAAGAACCTTTCAAAGCAAAAGTACTGAAAAATGAATTTTAGCTAGAGAGGTCGGAAATGGCTACCATCCAGATGTATGACTAAAAAGATGCATATTTTAATACGTTTAAAACAAGGACATCATAAATATGATGGAGCACATATTAATACATGGAAGAAGAACAAGATGTTTTCTTCTAAACGTTTATGTTAGAAAGAATCTTCTGGATAGCTGTTATTTTTCTAGATTAATTTTACATTAAAGGTATAAACAGCAAACCTATTCAATTCTAGGTTGATTACCGTCATTTAGATCGATGGTGACAAGAAAAAAAAATTATTTTAAATGACTCACCGATGTTTTTTTTTCTTGTACGATCTACTTGTGCCAATAATGCATGGACATCTGAGTCTGTCGTATAGAAATGAGGAATACTTTTGATGAGTGTCATGCAATATGTCATTTTCAATGAGTGTTGCATAACATATGACTATCTTCAATCTATCTGGTCTTCTTCTAAAAGTTATCCATATACCTTTGCGCAACATGATGACGTCTTTAAACATAATCAGTGTCATGCGGATATGCCTATCATATCTTTTTCAGTTCTTATCTCCCTCTTGTGTGCGCGTATATAAAGCATGTGCTTTGTGTTGTACGGTAAAACTGGAACGATTGTAGAACTAGAAAAGTGTAGAAAGTGAATATCATGTACATCGAGGATAGCGGTAACGCTACTCTTCCAGTTTCTCTTTGTGACCAGAAATAAAATAAAGGCTGCAGCAGTAACAAATTAACTATCCATCATCATAACATCAATGTATATTAAAACAATTCGTTACACTACTAACATCTCGACAGAATAATGAGAATAAAGAAGCAATTTATAGAAAACTTAATTGCTTAACTTAAAAGAACAGCTGCACAGCTAATATTCACGCGCATTCAAATATTATAAAACATATCGTTTTCTACTCAATTTTCTAATAGAATACGGTGATGCTCATAATTAATATCTACGAAAGGTACATCAAACATTACCCTCCTTTGGTTATCATAATCAATCCTTCCTAAGTCAATTACAAAAGAAAAAGGAACTGTTCGTATGTTGATTTGCTATAAAAATTAATTTAAATTCTGTTTGTGTCTTCGATAAGGAATTATTGATAAATATGTTCGTGTTAGAACATTCATTAATTCATTACGGTAACTATTTGAATGACGTCATCACTTACTAAGTCGTTACACAGATGATGATAGCCTATGCTGATCGGCAAACAAGAATTCAGAACATCTACTCGATTGAGTCATTCCTATAATCTACTATGCATGAAATAATTATGCTCAATCATAAATTTTTGATATCAGCCATCGGAAAAATACCTAATAATGACTTGTATATTTAATACATTGGTTAACCTTTAGATAGAAACAACTACTTAAATTCTGAAAAAATTATGATCTATTCATTTATCCTTAGGTCAATCTCGATGATATACAATACTAAATAACTACCATTAAAATGAGTTTTCTAAATGGAAAGATAGTCACTCAAGCTTTTGAATCGCTCAAGATACCGGTGAATATAATGAACTAACAATGAAATCCATGAAAATCATACATGTGTCATTTGGAATTGACTAGCTCTGTCACGATCTGCGGTATGGTATCGTGAAACAAGCACTGACTACAAATAGAAGAGATGAGAAAGATCATGTTAAGAAATTTTACAGAAAACTGTTTTCAAGATGAATTCAGGAGAAAAAGAAATATCAACAATGAACAGTGGATGTTGCTGATGGCTTTCCACCTGGCAAATGCATCATAATTTCAATAGAGCTTCTCCTTCTATAGTAATTTTGTAATGCGTATGAATTCATGATTTTTCCTTGTAATGTAAGTGTCAGCAGGCACTCGTAGCATTCTAGATACGTTATTATTAAGCAAATGGGACTTTATGTGGTTTCTATATTTTCACTTTGCTTTCAATAAAAATTGAATGATCTTGTTTACTATATTTTAATATTTTTATGTAATGAATGATTTTTTATGTATTTTTTCTTGAGTATTACTTTAACCAAAGAGAAGTTCATTTCTTCGAAATAGTAAAATTAGTGCGTCTATTATTGTTAAAATATTCCATATTATGCATGTTTCCATCAAACTAAAGAATAGTTATAGGCAACATTCAATAAGATGCTATTATTTTCTCGAACTTGAATAGAAAATCTTCAATCTTATGGTCAATGGAATAACAGCGATTAGTCAAAAACAGTTAAGAAATATCTTTATTGTTGATATTGGAAATAAAATCGTTATTTGACATGAATATTACATGAGACGAGCTTAGACATGATATTTTTATCTTTCTTCTAAAAGAAAGGAAACCAGACATACTTTTTTTTTTATTAGTTTAGAAAAAAGTATTACTCTTCCAACATTCTCCTTTAAAGAAAAACATTTATAACAATAGAAAGAGAATAAACGAGTAATAAAGGAAATGTGACATAAAGACTATTAGTATGTTTCTCATAAAAATATTCTCATTTTTATTAGATAGACTATTACATAATTATTCGGACAAAAGAGGAAGCGTTAGTTTTTATTTGTATTAATCAATATATTACGAGATGTGATTTATTCTGATGTCATATTGTAGAAGAAAAAGTTTTACAAGTGATATAAAATTCTACAAATATTTTATGCTTGATGCGAATATAGGACTGAACTTTCAGATAGAACAATGAAGAAATAAGCTTCTATACAGAGCACTCCAATGATTATCTAGCACACCAATATTCATCAGAAATTATTTTAATGGTGTGAGTGTGGGGTGTGGGTGTAAATGTATGGGTGTGTGAGTGTGCGGGTGTGTGTGTGCTCAGTAAAAAAAGGAGTACAACAGACCCTTTTTATGGGTTCTGTGATCGGGTAAAACACAGAGCCTTTACACATGGTTCTGAATGAAAAAGGGTTTTGTAGTCAACCTCAAAAACCATCTCATACTCCTCATGAAAAATGGTTCGGTATGCGGAAAAGCACTCCCAAACCTGCATGATTTCTCGAAAAGCTCCAGCGAATTCTTCGCAAACGGTTTTTTAGTCCACAACCACGCCTTCCCAAAGTGTCATATTATCCAACGTCGATAATTGTACGTATGAGATTCGATTCGCGCTTAAGATTCATTTCCTAATGAGTTGCAGCACTTTCCTAAACTCATAGCGCTATTATGAACAACAATCATCATAAACCAAGGAAAGCGCATCACAAATCTGAGTCAAACATAATTCTATTATAAATGACGCTTCATTTGAACCTAAAATAAAAAAAATCATTTTAATAGATTATTCATATTAATAAACATCACTTAGCATTCATACCTCGTTTGATAAGATCTAAAATAAAAAAGTCGTTTATTAGGTTGTTTATATTAATAACTATCACTTACCATCTATATCTTGTTTGGGCTGAATCTAAAATAAAAATAACATTCATTAGATTGTTTATTTCCATAAGTATCACTCACCATTCATATGTAGCTTCAGCTAACCTAAAATAAAAAAATTATTTATTGGGTTGTTTAGATTTATAAATATCGCTTACCATGCATATGTTGTTTGCGGTAGGTTATCATTTGCTCCAAATTGGTTACCACAATCAATCCCTAAATCAAAATTCCCATTTCGGGATTTTGATTTAAAGATTTTCTAATTTAGGGATTTTTTTGACATGAAATATATCCTGCATCCTATAGTTCAGTTCCATTCTTTTTCTCTTCCAAGATCGTATTACCGAACTAAAACTTTTGAAGTCATATCTGCTGGAAGTGCATAGTTTGGGTTAGCTAAACAAATAAAAAAAGTTTTCTCATGAATCTGGTGACCAGAATGTATTTTTTTAGGTACTACAACGAACAATTTTCAGGTGAATCTCGTGACAAGAATGTATTTTAGTCTGCCAAAAAGAGAACTTTATAGTAAAGCAAGATACATTCTAGTCACCAGATTCATGGGAAGACTGTTTTTATTATGTTTAGCTATAACCCAAAGAGAACACCTCTAATAGATATAACTTCAAAGCTTTTTGTGTTGGTAGTACCGTCCTGGAAGAGAAAGAGAATGGTATTGAACTATAGGACGTATGATATATTTCATGTAAAAAAATCCGTAAATTAAAAAATCTCCAAATCAAAATCCCCATTTTGGGATTTCGATTTAGGGATTGGTTGTGGTAACCAATTTGGGGCAAATGATAGGCATTCGTTGTTTGGTCAGATCTAAAATAAAAAAGTCGTTTATTACATTGTTTATATTAATAACTATCACTTACCATCCATATGATGCTTGAGGGGAACCTAAAAAAAATTTGCAGGTCAAATTCATTTTTGTGTACTAAAAAAGTAGGTACACTGTAGAATCGGTCAGTATGTCCGTCTGTTCGTCCAACCGTGTACACGATAATTTTTTGAAAGAAGAGTCAAATCATGATGAAATTTTCTACACAGTTTAGACTCTCAATGTTTCAATCGAATTTGAGGATGAGAAGGATTCGTCAAGAAATGGCTGAGTTATCGAAAAGTTGTCATTATTGAGGAGACCATCCTGATGGGGGAACACGGATTTTCTCAAAAAAAAAAACTTTTTCTCAAAATTATTCACAGCATGTACAAATCGACTCAGTTTTTAACGCTGGTTTCGAATCTGATATTAGTTTTGAACCAAATCGTTGCTTTCTAACAAAACATTGCCTGAAAAAGGTCTAGAAAGCACGTAGCCTAGATCTGTCTCAAAATGATAAAATACAAAGTGAATATACTTGTTCACTTTTTGAAGTATACATAACACTCGGATTTAAATCCGAGGTTTTCGCATTTATTTTTATCTTTCACTTACAAGTATGATTGAAGACCTCCCTCTCCACCTCCGAATAACGACTTCTTCGATGTGTTGTTGAATTTTATTTTATTGCATAATTTGACAGAGTGAAGCATCTACATTCAGAATTTGTGTCACTCTAAAGAAAAATGCCGTCTTCGTCTGGTTTTTGATGAGAATCTGGGAGCTCTATCATCATGAGGATGGCGTTGAGAAGATTGGAAATAAATAATTCTGTTTTTAAAACATCTCAATTCACCTCGAATTTAAAGAGAAGAACGTAGTCTGTCGATTATGAACCTCAATAATTGATGAAAAATCACAAAACAATGATTTTGTTTTCAATAGGGTTACTGTATTCGTTGCACTTAATATACTTTTCTAAAGCTTTTTTTGGCAATTGATTTCGTTTTTTATTAGAATTTGGATGGTGAAGGCATTCGGAAAATGTATAATACACGTACTTTGAATGAAGGATACATTCAAGCTTTTCGTCAAAAAACTGGATTTCGTTTTTCTCAGTTTATGCTTTTTCGATGTTGGCGAAGACTTTCTCGCTTCAACCTTCATCAAATTTACTCATTCTTTTTTTGTACGATGGCCCGTGAAAAGCTGAAGAGATTGACGTTGGGGTTTTTCGATATTTTATTTCAGAGCTCAGTTACTTATTTTATACTGTTCAGAATTAGAATGATTTTTACATGTGTTATCTTTTGATAAATGCCAAAAATCAATAAAACAAAATTTAGAAAAAGCTCAGCGTCAGTCACTTCGCTTAAGTGCTTTATATCGTTTGATATGGTTTTGTGCAATTTTAATCGACTACAACGAGCTAAAAATCTTCCCCAAGGTACCCTCCCATTTTTCGTACTCCTCGGTATTTTTTTCCGAACAGCAAACTTTGATTGGATGAAAAGTTGATGATAATTCTTTCTATACATAGCCAACATGCATGGAAAATTTCAGCTCAATCGGTTCATCAGAAGTCATATTTCACTCCTCAGGTGGGGGAGAAAGCTTTATCAATTTTGATCGAATGGTTCTGTAGAATCGTACAGAATCTTTGATGGTTCTGTACAATTTTACAGAACCTTTTATGGTTTATTGACTACCATACAGAACCAAAAATAGTTCTGCAAAACTCCAATTTTTTTCAGAGTACCAGGTTGGAATTACCTAGTTTTCTAAAGGCACAATAATTCACGGTTATATCCATGATGGACGCGTAGAATCTGTAAAAGAAGATGTCCATTGGATAGAGCTAGTCGAGATCTGTTTGGAGAGATGAGTCTGCAAGTTGAAGAGCACTCCTGGACGAATCGTATCAACCTGTAAGTTTCCTGATTTTCTCATGAGAGAGGTATTCGGCATTATCTGCATGATTGGTGGTTCAAATCGAAAGAATAAGGTATCTATTGGATCGAGCTCGTCGAGATCTCTATGAAAAGCTATGTAGAAAAGTGGAAGAGTACTGCTGAGACTTTGAAAGAAGTCAAATAGCTGGAATTGCCTAAGTCAAAAGGATTAGCGAGTTTTCTGAGGGTTGGTCTGAGTGAATTGTCTTGAAAAGGTGTCCATTAGATAGAGCGAGTTAAGAGATATCCGAAAAAGTGTGTCACAAAATTGGAGAGCTCATATAAGCGAATCGCGGCGGTGGATTCTAAAGTTTTGGTAATTTGGGACCTTTTTATGGTAGTATTTTGGGGTTTTCTCAGAGGTGACTGTAGCAGTTTCTGACAATCAGATATGCATCGGATAGAGCTCATCAAGCTCTACTTGGAGAGCAGGATTGCCAACTTAGAGACCTCTTTACGGTGAATCCTTCCAGGAAAAAGTCGAATTCTGACCCAAGATATCCTGTGTCAATGCTTCTAAGGTACATTCGCCATAAACCGATTTAATCGAAAATTTATCACGAAATAGTGGATATTTCTTTTTAACACTTGCCAACATCTTATCGGATTCTTCATTTGATATTGAAAATATTTGAAGAGTAGAATGAACATGAAGCATTTCTTCACGAGTTTTGATTAGATGACAACAGAACTAAAACAATTATTTGAGTTATTTTTCTATTCTATAAGATATACCATTCTAATGGATATTCTAATATTAAATGATCCCCGGTGGATAAGAACTTCGATCGAACAGTAAATATATGATTGCGTAAGGGTGTTGGTGTAGGTCTTGGTGCTGATCTTCTCACCACCCACACCCGACACCCAAATCCCACACCCAAAATGTTATAGAGGTAACGTTGCTGCCTAGATAACACATTGAATATTAGAGTCGATGCAGCAAAACAATATTTACACAACTTATTTGATGTTTCAATCTTCATACTCATCTGATAAGTAGTCATGAAAATAGATAAGAATTATTCATATCAATCCATACTGCATTTCAACATTACTCATTCGAGCAAGCTCTCTGCAATCTAACTCGTAAAAAAGTGAGAGAAGAATCAAAGCTGATTGGTTTATTTTTCCATACCGTCATAAATCACTGATATATATATTACACCTTAACCAGTAGATAAACCAAACATCGACATTACTATTCAACTGAAACATACACGTGCATCATGTCCTTTTCTTTTTTTTCCTTTGTTATTTTATCGATTGGTCTTGTACTGCATCTTGATGCTATCAGCAGTCCCATTCCACCATACACTAATTATACTTATGCCACAGAACTGTTACCCGATCTTGCTGATCTCTGGTGGTCGATCGACGATCTTCGTAAGGAGATCACGTTCGAATTTCATATCAAAACAACTGGCTGGATTGCATTAGGCATAAGTCCCGGTATGATTACCTTCATTCTCATTCTGATCTTTCTCATTTCTCATACGTAGCTGGTGGTATGATTGGTGCTGATATCGGCTTGGGATGGATCGATCAATCAGGCCAACTGCATTTTGAAGTAATTAGATATTCCTCTTTTTTCATTCTCTCAACTATCATTTAATCAATAGGATCGATATGCATACGGGTTTTATCAACCGATGGTGGACAATACAACACAAGATTGGTTTGGATTGCAAGGTTGCGAATTGAATGGATGGACAGCTATTCAATTCAAACGACTCTTAGACACTTGTGACATCATGGACTATCCCATCAAAGTATGTCTCTTTTAATACATGTCGAAGAAAAAAATTTGTGTTATATAGTCCGGAACCAATATTGTAATCTATGCCTACAGTCTCAAAGATCCTATTATAATTGATGGGAAAGCGACGATCAAGTATCATGGTGATCGACGATATACTCGAGCGATTCCACTACAATCATACGCAAATCCACCACCAGAGAGCAAGTTTGCTGGCCTCGACTATTTCGATTTTCAATTGCACAATGTAAATCATATCATTTGCCCTGAAGACAGGCGTAGCAATGTTCTGTATTGATGTTTTTCAGTATTCAATACCATCAAATGAGACGACCTATCACTGTACAGTCTACAAAGTGCCAGCGAAGTTTCCTAAACGAAGACATGCTATTGCAGTAAGAAAGAACGATTCTTTCGTCTCATTGGATGCCTAAACTGTGCTCTGTTTTAGTACAAAGCCATCATTGATCAAGCCAACATTGATATTGTCCATCACATGTTGATGTATGAATGCAATCCATCAGCTATCTTCGATGATGAAAATTTGCCTTCTGGTATATGTGATGATCTTGGTGAAGTTCTTATACCTTGCCCATCAAATATCGCTACCGGATGGGCTGTTGGTGGAGACTTTGCTAGTTTCGAATCGAAAGAAAAGATTCCTTTTTAAAATAAAGAATATTTTTTGATAATAGATCAATGAGTTTCCCGACATAGCTGGATATCCTGTTGGTGGAGATTTTGAAATCAAATACTATGTAGTTCAAATGCACTATAACAACATGCATCTAATGTCAAGTAAGGATAAAGGATCCGATTAAGATTGAAAAAATAAGAGCACCTATTAAATTAGATCGTACGGATAGTTCTGGTATACGATTCTATTTGGGCAATGAACTTCGTCAATATGACATCGGCTACCTGACATTAGGCCAAGATTCAGACGCCACTGCAATTGCTATTCCACCGTATGATGATCGTTTAGTCATCGATTCTTATTGTCCTGCTCTAGTCACAAAAGTGAGTAATTTATGATTTAATTCAGCTCAATTTTATTTCTTCTATTGCTCGAATATTCCACCGACGGGCATTACTGTGGTTGCAGCTTTTCCACATACTCATCTTCAAGGTACCTGAAAACAGTAAAGTCTTTCTACAAGAGACAATATTCTCGCTTTTAGGACGCAGCATCTCGACAAAGATCATTCGAAATAAGAAAGCAGTTCAATATCTCTTCAATGCTGATGCTTATACTTTCAATTATCAGTTCCAGAATCGTTTACCTCAACCGATTACATTGTATCCGGTTTGTATTATTCAACTTTGTTGTCTCACTCGTTCAACAATGAAAATAATTCTAGGGTGATGAATTAGCAACACGATGCATCTACAGTACAACCGACAAGAGTGTCATTACTCTGGTGAGTAGTCGTTCGTGAAATTTCCGAACTCTAGTCACAGCAATGATCTAGGGTGGAGAAGCAACGAGAAACGAAATGTGCATACATATGTTCATTTACTATCCTCGTGTAAATAACTTACACCTTTGTTCGATGACCAATTCTATAGAAGCATGGGCACAAGTGACAAATTATTCAATGTCAGTGAAATTTTCATTTTATCTGCCTGCATAACATGTTTCTGTTTTTGTAGACCTTTGGACTACAATAGCCTTGTTCAATGGTTAACGAATCGTCAATGGACAGCACAATCCATTGCTAATTGGCAAACTTTCTACAATTCGACTTCGAAAACTCTTGTTTATGATAATGGTGGTAACATAACCTTGGTTGATCTTCCAAAGCTACCAGACTATCAAGATTTTGAACCATATCAATGCAAAAAAATACTACTGATGTTGATACTGTTTCTAAATCGTCCAAACTTCGTTCTCTTCTCAAAATAATGAATATGACTTCATAATTCGAATAAAGCAGGAGTAGCTATTAAGCAGTGAAAAGCATGCTATATCTAAAATAATTGTATTTTTCTATTTTTATTTCTGCCCAACGAGCAAATGAGAGGAAAGCAATCGATCTGCAATGAAGAGAATGCTTTATATAGGTATGAATGTAATCTAGAGTGAATCACGAACTACTCTAAAGCGTTCAATAAGAACTCGTCATTTCAAAAATTTTGACGATGGCGATGCGAGCTTGTCGGTTATTTCATCTTGAAATTCTTTTTTATCCTTCACATCATCTCTAGGAGATACCGCCCTCAAACTACATTCGATTCCTGCAAAACATTGCTTAGCATGTGTCTTAGTATGGGTGTCAATCTTTAATCCATTTAATTCCTACAC